CGTAGATCCAACATTTTGTTTTTGTTTTACTGATAATATTTCAGGAATTGTTTGCAATACGATTGCACTCTAGTAAACTAAGAGAATGAATTGACTAAAAAACATTACAGAATGGTTAGCACGTTGGTGTATATACACTACTCTTAAGACGACCCCTCCAAAAAGTTTCAACATTTTCTGCAATTTGCTTTCTCTTTCTTAAGAGTGCACATACATTAAATCATTTTTGTTATATACGTATTTATTGATCAGTCTGACGAAAATCAGTCCTTAATATTTCACTTCTAACAAAGTGAAATAGTAGGGAATGGCTTTAGTCAGACTGTTTTATTGATAAACTTAAATGTTAAGTAACAGACACCGGACTAGAAAAACTTAACATGTACTGACAACGGACGTTTTGCGTATAAATTGCGATTTCTTAAAGCCTGCTATCAAGAATAGGCTGTCAGTTGCCTAACTCATGTAAAATTAAGTTTTTCTTCATATTTCAAAATAAAAGAAGCAAATTGATAAATTTTAAGTAAGAAATATTAAATTTCCAGGCTGACGATCATGACTTCAGACATGGGCATGTGATTGCCAACGCAAACTCCTCTTATATTACTTCATGTTAACGGCTGAAATTCATACAACACCAAAAGGTGTGTCAGTCCTGTTCCCCATTGCAATTTCAGACATTGGTGGAAATTATTTATCTTAAAAAATGAAAAACTACCCACGACCTGCCTTCTCAAGTAATGACACCGGACAGTTTTTGTCATAACCTTACCTGTATTTTCATGACAACGAGCCATTTTCAGTGCTTAACTTTAAAGGTTTCTGACAACGGTACTGTCTTGGAACTTAACGTGTTCCTGGCCGTGATTTTTATCATTTGTAGATTCGGTTTGGTTCATTTACATATTATTTAAATACTCTTTCCAAATGATTTTGAAATCAAAATTCAGCTTCCTGAGACGTCCAGTGTATTTTTCTTTAATTTGGCCCTTGAAGATTGGTTGTTTCTTTGCTGTTAATCCCATCAAGATTTGTTGGGACGACATTTGAACATTTCCCCATTGCTCCAAATTTAGACGTACTAAGCATTTTTTTGCCATTAAGCAGTGGGGATCTTTTTTGAGCCAGCATCTTCTGCGACACTGGACATAAGTTTTTATGGTCCCTTTTGAAGGACCGTTTTCAACGTTCCTCAATGGTATTTGAACCTGCGACTTAAAATTAGCCATTTACGTCTTAACTCCAAAGCAAAATGCTCTAGAACCACTGCAAATCTCATGGCCCTCAAAAAAGTACATTGACTTTCTATAAGCACTGGAGGGTGATTGAAGGTTTGAAAAAATACACTCGGATGTCCAGTCTTTGCGTATTTGAGAATCTTGTCATTTTTTTATTCGATTTGTATAAATGTTCTCTGGTGTGAGATATTTCACAAGTTCATCTAAATTACAGCTGTGAATTAATTAATCATGAATTTTGCTTTTAAACAGCATATGTATGATACTTAGCATTTTGTTCTCAAATCACTTTCTTTTGTACTTTTCTTATTTATAAATGTAATTTTCCATTAAATTTTAGAATGTATTTTTAAAGCTGCTGTCAGAAAATAAAATTGTTTACCTACCTACCGACCCAACTTGAGAATTTAGGGTCGGGTTAGGGGAAACAAAGATATTTTTAATTCCGACCTGGACCGAACAGGAATTATGAATTTTTTCTTCCAGTGACCTTGAACTTCCCCAAATGACCTTGGGTCAAGGTCATGACACACCCTTGGGTCATGGGCAATCTTTGTGTGAAATGAGAACCTACCAAGTTTATCCATAAGAAAGATATGGACCGAACATGAATTATGGATTTTTTTTCTTCCAGTGACCTTGAACTTCCCCAAATGACCTTGGGTCAAGGTCATGACACACTCTTGGGTCATGGGCAATCTTTGTGTGAAATGAGAACCTACCAAGTTTATCCATAAGAAAGATATGGACCGGACACAAATTATGAATTTTACTTCCAGTGACCTTGAACTTCCCCAAATGACCTTGGGTCAAGGTCCTGACAAACCCTCAGGTCATGGGCAATCTTTGTGTGAAATGAGAACCTACCAAGTTTATCCATAAGAAATGTATGGACCGGACACAAATTATGAAATTTTTCTTCCAGTGACCTTGAACTTCCCCAAATGACCTTGGGTCAAGGTCATAACACTACCTTAGGTCATGAGCAATCTTTGTGTGAAATGACTACCTACCAAGTTTATTCATAAATGAAAGAAAAAGTGAGCTAGCTCACATACCCCACGCTCCCCCAAAACTTGACGGTGAAACACATAATGAAAGACACAGTGCACTTTAAATACATAGTATAGATCAAAAAGGGCAATAATTGCAAAAAAATCTTCACATCAAAATGTCTTACATATGAGGACATTTAAATGTGGAATGAAGTTTCTAGATAAATAATGGAATCAAAATTTCTTGGCATTATACAAATCCAAACATTAATTTGAAGTGGTGGGGGGGGGGGGGGGAGAAATTTTCTTGAATAATAGGCAAAACTCTTTGGGATAAAAGAAACTAAGTACAACAGTTTAAGAGGAGTGGTGCTAACAAACTGTTCATCTCTATATTCTAAATATGGCCAAAAAGTCTAAGTTGGAAAGTGTGGAAATTCCCGGAAAAAATAAAGGAATCGGAATTTCCTGGTAATATGCACATCTACACATTGTGTCCTAAATACCTGCAAAGTTTGACGAAATTCTGTCCAGCGGTTTATGAGGAGTTGCGCTGACAAAAAAAGAGGACTGACTGACGGACTGACTGACTGACTGACTGACTGACTGACGGACGGGTCAAAAACATTATACCTCCCGCAACTAGTTGCGTGGGGTATAATAAGATACGGACCGGACACGAATTATGAAAGTTTCCTTCCAGTGACCTTGAACTTCCCCAAATGACCTTGGGTCAAGGTCATGACACATCCTTGGGTCATGAGCAATCTTTGTGTGAAATTAGAATCTACCAAGTTTATCCATAAGAAAGATATGGACTGGACACGAATTATGAAATTTTTCTTCCAGTGACCTTGAACTTCCCCAAATGACCTTGGGTCAAGGTCATGGCACATCCTTAGGTCATGGGCAATCTTTGTGTGGAGTAGTAGATTCTAATGTCCCTCTGTAAGAAAGATATGGACCGGACACGATTGCACAGACAGACGGACAGCTAGACAGACGGACGGACAGACAGACGGACAAGGTGATTCCTATATACCCCCCCAAACTTCGTTTGCGGGGGGTATAATTAATTTTTTAAATTTGAAAAAGATGTTAAATAATTGGCAAGTCCATTTTTAGAAATTTATAAACACATTGAATCAATGGAAACATATGGATATAACCTATAATTTAAGTCATCCAATGCTGCTATTTTTTTTTCCCAATCGTATCCCCCTTTCTGAATATTGTGGAATCCAACTCAATCATATATTACGGTCCACCGACTACTATCTTCAAACACAACGAAAAAAATTTCCATTTTCTTAAGTCGGAGAATTACCTAAATAATTATTTATAACTTAAAATAAGAAATAAATCTTACATGTATTTAGTTCCAGAAAGATGCATTTCCGTTTTTTTTTTCCAAAGTGGATGAAATATTATATTAATTGATAATTCTTTGAAATCTATAATCGGTATTAAGTTGTATTTCGTTTTGAAAATATCGATTCCTAAATATTTTGAACTATTTTGAGTGAAGAATCGTGCGTTTGCGGTAGCAATCGTGTAAGATCGTGTAATGTGTAGAAACGTGTGCATGAAGGATCGTTCGTGTAACAGGTTTAATCTTGCATTAACCGTGCGGAATCGTTCGTGTAACGTGATCGTTCATGTAAGTTGTCAACAATAACGACTTGCAGCCACTGTATAACTTTCATATACCATATGTATTCTTTGTGACAAATTCTTCCTGCTGGTACCAACATGTTAAACCCTTTGCTCTTGACCTTGAAAGTTGACTCACTTTTACAAAATTTTACCAAACCTTTTCATTGGTCACAACGTAAATAGTTAGAGTTATGGCTTTTATAATATATGTGTATCTTTCATACAGCAAATCATTTTGTGTAATATTTTTGTTATTTTAACCTTGATTTTGACCTAATTAAAAAAAAAATCATCTTCTCCATAACTTTTGAACAGTTGATGTTAGGGCATTCATATTTCATGTGCAAATATTTTTTGTGACCAATCCTTCCCCTTAAAGTTAATATCAAAATTTTATAGCTCATGACCTTGACCATGCAGAATGATCTACTTATGAAAAACTTACACCTTCACCTTGTTTTGAAGGGTTGGTACCATGGATCTCATATTAAACAATTTAATTTTTTGTGACAAAATCTTACCTGTATTTGAGAAACTATAAACCTTGCTAAAGAGCTGTCATCTGGGGGCATCGGTGTTTGTAATGTGCACTAAATGCCATGTTTCATATCTTGCATTTCTTAAATTGATACCTTGTGCCATGAGTGGTATCAAGGAGCTAAACTTTATTGGACATGGGTCAAGGTCACTGTGACCCTTCAGGATGCTCGTTGGTTGAATTATGACTAAGTGAGCTTAAATCATACACAGTTGAAATTTTTTGCCTTGAACAGGGCTATCTCAAATAGCATAGATACATATCAAACTTGAAGCTCATTTTGAAGCCCTATAACCACTTGTCCTAGATACATTTAACCCTCAATGTCTCAAATCCTTGCATATGTCATTTTTTCTCAGTCCTATAGTGTTCGATATAATGAGGTTTAACTGTATTTCTATTATTGTATAATATGAAGTAAGCCAAAGAAATGATAAGAATGGACCGCTAATCATCAATAGCATAATGACATTTGTGATAAAAGTTGTGTCAATACTCAATGAACTGGACATGCATTATCTAATGTTAGCCCTGACTAAGGTAACATGAGACCTTATACAATAAATATCATACCTAGTGGCTCGTCTAACGTCAGCTCTCTGTCCAGTAAAATGTTGGCCGGTACAGACTTCTTTATCAATTCATCAATGTTCTGCAAACAAAGGAAATAAAATGAAAAGTTTTAAATGAAAAATTTATTTTTTCTTCCAAATTTGTTAAAAAAAAACCTCCTTTGGTAATGAAATTTTAAAAATAAGGAGTAAAACAGTTCACCGCAGTATTAATTCACCATAGTATTGTTTCTCGGTTTGATACACAGTACAAAATCTCTATTTTCGGTTCGGTTCGTTTTTTGGTCGGGATTGTCATTCAGTCGGGTTTGGCATAAGGTATAAACATGCTCCTCTGTATTATTACCCAGGGTAAATATTTGTGGACTTAAAGTTTGTAAAATAATTTTTAACAGTCAAATATTTAAATTGATTTCTACTATCCATTTTGCACATGAATTAATTGACTAAATTAAAAGGAAGTAAAAAACAACAGTTGAATTTGTTTTCTTATATCAAAATGTATCATGTCAAAAATACTGTAGAAGTATTTTCTTTCCACGTGGTATTAATTTACGCTATGTACGCGGTCACAAATTTTCCACAGAAATTTGTCAAACTGTATTTAATATAAATGTAAGGCATATAGTGACAATATAGAAAATCCGAGTAATTTTCTACCCGCGGATTAAACAGAAATTGAGATTCCACGGAATTATGACCCCGTGGAAAAAAGTACGTCTACAGTAACCGAACCGAGACCAAATTTTACCATACATATTGAACTGTGAAGGAGGCATATTGTTTCAACCCTATTAAAAATTTCAGTTGTAAGAAAAATTCTCAAAGCAAGTAAAATGGTATTTGTGCATTAAGATGCATTTTTTGTAACAAAGGGAATAAAAAGTTGATTCTACAATGTGTACTAAAGGGTTGACAAGATCAAAGACCAACAGCTATTTGAAATTTCTTATTTTCATTTATTTTTTAAAGATTTATGCAGACTTTTGTGCAAAAGCAGAGGATCATAATTCTATAGCATCATCAGTGCAATTTTTGCCGTGTAATAATTGCCCTGCAGCTCTGCCCTGGCAAATCTTCCACATGATTAAAACAACTACTGTATAATGGCAAGGGCCGAAAGCTACACAAAACAATTAAAGCAGGCTCAGTCGACTAATGTGTACGAACAGAGGAAATTGGAATTGAATTTGTCAAGCAAATTTCTGTGTGAAACCTTCCCAAGAATTCCTTCACTATAAGTATTCCATGAGTTATTATAATGAATAAAACCAGCCTTCAGTTTATAATACCCCCCGCTTTAAAAGTTGGAGGGTATATAGTAATCGGGATGTCCGTTTATCTGTTATGGTTTGGGGTACCCATCTCTTATCCTCATCTCCTCTCATACCACTGAATGAAATTTGATGAGACTTTCACAAAATATTTATTACAAATTGCACTTCATATTTTACTTTTTGATCCAACACATATTTTGGGTTTCCCATAGCAAAACATGGACACTGCAATTATATTCATATGAGAGGTGGGGGTATCATTTAGTTAGCTCATTGCACACAGTACCTCTATAGTTGTCATTAAGTTCTTGCAGAGAACAAATGGAAGAAACAAACAAGAGGCCCATGGGCCACATCACTCACCTGAGCACTGTGGCTGGGAATAAAAAAGAAATTGGTTTATTATTGAAAAGTTTAAATCCAAAAGTAAATCTTTGACCAGTTATGATTTTACTATTCTTGAGAAGATGATTTTTAAAGAATTTTCCTATATATTTCTATGTAAAACTTTGGTCGGCCATTGTGCCCCCCCCCCCCCCCCCCCCCCGGGGGTCATGATTTGAACAAACTTGAATCTACACTACCTGAGGATGCTTCAATATAAATATGATCAATTATGGCTTTGTTATTCTTGAGAAGAAGATTTTTAAAGAATTTTCCTATATATTTCTATGTAAAATTTTGGTTGACCATTGTGGCCCCGCCGTACCCCCTGGGTCATGATTTGAACAAATTTGAATCTACACTACCTGAGGATGCTTCCATATTAATATGATAAATTATGGCTTTGTTATTTTTGAGAGGAAGATTTTTAAAGAATTTTCCTATATATTTCTATGTAAAACTTTGATCTGGCCATTCACAGTGGCCGCGCCCTACCCCCGGGGGTCATGATTTGAACAAACTTGAATCTACACTACCTGGGGATGCTTCATTATAAATATGATTCATTATGTTTTTTTTTTATTTTTGAGAAGAAGATTTTTAAAGAATTTTCCTATATATTTCTATGTAAAACTTTGGTCGGCCAATGTGGCCCCGCCCTACCCCAGGGGGTCATGATTTGAACAAACTTGAATCTACACTACCTGAGGATGCTTTCATATAAATATGATCAATTATGGCTTTGTTATTCTTGAGAAGAAGATTTTTAAAGAATTTTCCTATATATTTCTATGTAAAACTTTGGTCGGCCAATGTGGCCCCGCCCTACCCCAGGGGGTCATGATTTGAACAAACTTGAATCTACACTACCTGAGGATGCTTTCATATAAATATGATCAATTATGGCTTTGTTATTCTTGAGAAGAAGATTTTTAAAGAATTTTCCTATATATTTCTATGTAAAACTTTGGTCGGCCAATGTGGCCCCGCTAGGGCTGTATCAATATATCGATATATTGATACGTATCGATATTCAAGAAAAATATCGTATCGAAAAATAACTTCCAATACGTATCGGACAAACAGTTTTTCTTCTAATTCTGTTAAAAAAGATGGGAATTTCAATCACCAAAGATTATATTTCACTTTTTTGAAATAAAACTGTTCAATAATAATATAATTTGTAAGGAAATAACACAGTTTTTATAACTGTTACAAAATACAAAGACAATTGAATTTGAACATGTTGATTTTAATGTCATAAAAAGTTTTAATTTGAAGTGTTATTTGTAATGTCAATGAGACAAGAACTATACAAGAGGCCCATGGGCCACATCGCTCACCTGAGAAGCTTTGTCCATTCTGTTCTTTACTAGATTTCCCCCTTGTAATACATATTGTGACCCCACCCTACCCCACTGATCATAATTTAGACAATTTGAAATCTACACTACCCCAGGATGCTTCCACATAAGTTTCAGCTTTTATGGCCCTGTGGTTCTTGAGAAGAAGATTTTCACAGATTTTTCCTATATATTTCTATGTAAAACTTTGATTTCCCATTGTGGCCCAGCCCTACCCCCAGGGGTCACGATTGGATTAATTTAGAATCTACACTACCTGAGGATGCTTTCACACAAGTTTCAGCTTTTCTGGCGCAGTGGTTCTTGAGAAGAAGATTTTCAAAGATTTTTCAATATATATCTATGTAAAACTTTAATTCCCCATTGTGGCCTCGCTCTACCCCCAGGGGTCATGATTTGAACAATTTAGAATCTACACTAACCAAGTAGTTATTAAGAAGAAGATTTTCAAAGATTTTTCCTTAATATTTCTATGTAAAACTTTGATTCCCCATTGTGGCCCCGCCCTATCCCCGGGAGTCATGATTTTAACAATTTAGAATCTACACTACCCCAGGATGCTTCCACATAAGTTTCAGCTTTTCTGGCCCAGTGGTTCTTGAGAAGAAGATTTTTAAAGATTTTTCCTATATATTTCTATGTAAAACTTTGATTCCCCATTGTGGCCCCGCCCTTCCTCCGGGGGTCATGATTTGAACAATTTAGAATCTACACTACTTGAGGATGATTCCACACAAGTTTCAGCTTTTCTGGCACAGTGGTTCTTGAGAAGAAGATTTTTAAAGATTTTTCCTATATATTTCTATGTAAAACTTTGATTCCCCATTGTGGCCCCGCCCTATCCCCGGGGGTCATGATTTTAACAATTTAGAATCTACACTACCCCAGGATGCTTCCACATAAGTTTCAGCTTTTCTGGCCCAGTGGTTCTTGAGAAGAAGATTTTTAAAGATTTTTCCTATATATTTCTATGTAAAACTTTGATTCCCCATTGTGGCCCCGCCCTTCCTCCGGGGGTCATGATTTGAACAATTTAGAATCTACACTACTTGAGGATGATTCCACACAAGTTTCAGCTTTTCTGGCCCAGTGGTTCTTGAGAAGAAGATTTTTAAAGATTTTTCCTATATATTTCTATGTAAAACTTTGATTCCCCATTGTGGCCCCGCCCTATCCCCAGGGGTCATGATTTTAACAATTTAGAATCTACACTACCCCAGGATGCTTCCACATAAGTTTCAGCTTTTCTGGCCCAGTGGTTCTTGAGAAGAAGATTTTTAAAGATTTTTCCTTAATATTTCTATGTAAAACTTTGATTCCCCATTGTGGCCCCGCCCTATCCCCGGGGGGTCATGATTTTAACAATTTAGAATCTACACTACCCCAGAATGCCTCCACATAAGTTTCAGCTTTTCTGGCCCAGTGGTTCTTGAGAAGAAGATTTTTTAATGACCCCACCCTATTTTTGTCTTTTCTTGATTACCTCCCCTTGTGAAGGGATTTGGCCCTTTATTTTAACAATTTAAATTCCCCTTCACCCAAGGATGCTTTGTACCAAGTTTGGTCAAAATTGGCCCAGTGGTTCTTGAGAAGAAGTCGAAAATGTGAAAAGTTTACGGACGGACAGACAGACGGACGGACGACGGACACAATGTGATCAGAAAAGCTCACTTGAGCCTTCGGCTCAGGTGAGCTAAAAATGGGTAATTAACACTTAGTTGTTATGAAAATTATGCATTAAAATGATTTATAAGCCTTTTTCGATGGACTTGTTTTAGAATCCAATATATCGCATATCGCTTTAAAAAATATTGTATCGTATCGTATCGAAATTTTTGGCTCAATACACAGCCCTAGGCCCCGCCCTACCCCAGGGGGTCATGATTTGAACAAACTTGAATCTACACTACCTGAGGATGCTTTCATATAAATATGATCAATTATGGCTTTGTTATTCTTGAGAAGAAGATTTTTAAAGAATTTTCCTATATATTTCTATGTAAAACTTTGATCTGGCCATTGTGGCCGCGCCCTACCCCCGGGGGTCATGATTTGAACAAACTTGAATCTACACTACCTGAGGATGCTTCCATAAAAATATGATCAATTATGGCTTTGTTATTCTTGAGAAGAAGATTTTTAAAGAATTTTCCTATATATATCTATGTAAAATTTTGGTCGGCCATTGTGGCCCCGCCCTTCCCCCGGGGGTCATGATTTGAACAAATTTGAATCTACACTACCTGAAGATGTTTCCCCATAAGTTTCATCTTTCCTGGCACAGTGGTTCTTGAGAAGAAGATTTTTAAAACATACCACCAAGTTTTCATTAATTCCCAATTATCTCCCCTTGAATGAGGGCGTGGACCTTCATTTGAACAAACTTGAATCCCCTTCACCCAAGGATGCTTTGTGGCAAGTTTGGTTGAAATTGGTCCAGCGGTTCTTGAGAAAAAGTCTGAAAATGTGAAAAGTTTACAGACAGACAGACAGACGCCGGACAAAATGTGATCAGAAAAGCTCACTTGAGCCTTCGGCTCAGGTGAGCTAAAAACCCAAACCCAATTGCATCTATACTCTACAATGGCTTAATTTTGTCAAAAAATTTCACTAGGCCTATTCATACTCTGTTGTGGAAATTCATATTAAAAATTACATACGTATCATTTCGTGAAGACACAGTTTAGACTGTGTTTTTGTTGTTTGAAGTATAAAGCCCTAGATTCATGATAATTTTAACTGTTTTGTGATACTAATTAATTATGTATCACAATATTTTCAACAAAAATAAAAAATATCATATTCTTACATATTAATTTATTACCTTCAATTTCACATGTACAATATTTTCATTGAAAATATTTTTCTTGGAGTAAATACATGTTTTATTCTGTGGTCTTTCTTATATTCATTTGCTGTTTTTTTTTTTCTTTCCTTTTTTTTTTTTTTTTTTTTTTTTAACATCAGAAAGGGATTTAAAGGTATGCTTTTAGCCAAGACAGTGTTACTGTAACTGATACAGAATCCACTGTTTACAAGTTTTGACTATTATGCAAATGTCAAGGACATACTACACCCACATTACAAAACAGCTGATCCGAATCATAACATACACATACATTATCCTAAAAATGTAAACAAGGTCTGCACTTCCTGTTACAAGTTGTTTTGGTCTAAAATATGACAAAAACCCTAATTCTTAATCTTTTGTTTTTTTACATTTGGATATTTAAAAAACTTTCAGTCTGCATCATTATGAACTTATTAATATTTTAATTTTCTGTCCTATAGACCTATTTAAAAGCAGTGGCAGACACACACATCTTTGTGACAGAGGTTAATTCAGCATCCTAATAATTGGTAATGCAAAGAAACAAATTATACACAAAAATAACTATGCATATTTTTAGTTAATGACCTGTAATCAAGTTGTATTCACATAATATCAACAGATCAACACGGCGTATAAACAATAAAAAAACATTCTTACCTTCATGCCAATAAAATCTAACATCGCTTTCTTTTCAACTTCATTTGGTCCTATGTGTCTCTCAATAAAGTTGTCATGTCTTGGATGAAGTTTTTCCAAAGACGAGCTACAGCGTTTTACTATGACAAAACTCTTGTTTGCATGAGTTAGTGATAACTGGGCATTCGCACTGCTCCTTCTCACAAATTCAGATAAATGGCGCATCCGAAACATGGTGAAAAATTGGTGGATAATTCAAGCTTATGTCACTGTCAGCCTTCTTCCTTCTTGTTTTTCTTCATTGGCCAATATATTGGTTCTACGGACGGGTGCCAAGACGTCCGAAAGCAGATTAAACGGGTTACGGAATGATGTGGCTAATCTACGCAATGTTCACTACTACATTCTGTAAAAAGGGAAAACAATCAGCATAGCATAATATACAAAACACAATTATTTTAAAGGTGAAAGTCTAGAAAAATAAAGAATAATTATATTTTCCCAGTTTTGTGATTAATATTTCTTTGCATATTTTTTTATAGCTACTTATGTGCCCATAAGGAAAAAGTGCATTATATACTGGCTGTACAAGTAAAAAAAAAAACATTGACAGAGTCAAAGAATTCTAATTTAATGAATACAGTTTTTCCTTATAATTTTATTGTACATTTCATACAGAATTTTTACTAGTTGAAGAAATATTTACCACCTGTTGACATCATTGGAGTTATACGTACTTCTCCTGATATTAGCCTCATACTAAACTTCAAAAAGTTCAAGGCTAATCATATGCAAATATTGACCAATAGCATAAAAGAATGGGGACAATCCCCCGCTAGCTTTCCCTGCATGGTCATAATGTCCCTACATGGACATACATCTTCAACCAATCACAAACTCTTGTCTATCGCGTGAGAACCATTCACATTTATATCTTATCTTATTACTTCTCAAGCTCATTGTCACAACTTCCAACTAGTAAACTTTTAATACTAGTTACTTAACATTTTATCTTATAATCTTTCTTTAAAAAGGCGATTATTTCTTATTAAAAATGGATTTTTCAAACATTAAATTATATGAAAATGATGGATTAATAAGTCGTGAAAAGTGTCTTTAGGGTCGCAGATAGAAACTTCAAAGTGGAAATTTTATTTATTTATTTATTTTTAACTATAAAATAGTAAGCACACAATGCAACGTATTTGTATCGCTGGAGTTCTTAATTAACCAAAGAAAAAGGCAATTTTAAAAATCAATAACTAAGATTTTGTCTAGAGAATTTTCTACAGAAAATTTTTATTTGACGTAATTTCATACCTTTGAATGATAGGCAATTGCTCTAAATACTTAGTTCACAAATGGCATGAACTTGATTATATTTCTTGGAGGTATCTAGGCATCGACCATCTATGGCGGAAGGTTCCATGGAGTTTTCTTTTCATTCATTGTATCATAAATGAAAAATATATATTATAATTTGCAACAGGAAAATAATCGTCTACAAATTTCGCTCAAGAAATATAAAAAAATTTCATAAGGATTTTTATACATAAATCATGCATAAAAATATGATTTTGTTTTACATGGCACTTCACAATCACCGCGATCGTAAAAAGGTTTACGATTACTTTAAAATAAATGATGATGATTCGTGCACATGAAATCAACAGAATGAAGTTGGAATCATCGGGAAATGTGCTAAAAAGTTAATTATTCCGTTTTGTAACAAATGTATGAATAATCAGGCGCGGATCCAGGAATTGAAGTTAGAGGGGGGAAATGTGCTCCAGGGCACAAAAAGTTATTCCGTTTTGTAACAAATGTATGAATTATTATACAATTCATTTTACAAAAATAAACTTTGTTTCGAAAATCAGGCCAAAAAGACCTTATTTAGCATTTTATATTCTGACAATGTTCTTGTGAACACAAAAATGAAGATAGGGTGATATCAAAATGCCCCTTTTGAGAACTTCTAATAGATTTTTATGTCCCCGTGATTCACAGTCGAGGGTATATAAGTTTTGTTTTGTCCGTCTGTCTGTCTAGCTCTCCTATCTTTCTGTCTGTCTGCCTGTTTGTGTCCGTAAAAGCTCTAACTTTGCTCATATTGGAGCTACGACCTTCAAAGTTCAAATGTGTATTTCTTGTGACAAAACGCCTTTTTTTGGGCACCAACGTATTTGACCTCTTGATCTTGGAGTCTGACCCACTTTTGTAAAACTTTACCAACTTTAACCATGGTGATAACTATTCACAGTTGGTGCTAGGGATTTCAAATGTATATTCATTCTTAAAAGTCCCTTCCTTTGACATTGACATTTGAGTTTGAACTACTTTTTAAAAAGTGACAGTGGCCATAATATGAAAACAGTTAGAACTAGTATTAGAGTTGATAAACTTTAACACTGACAATAGCTTTAGAACAGTTGGTGCTAAGTCTTTCATACTTCACTTGTGCATTTATTCTGAGATATAAAACTTTTTGATCATGACCTTTTGAGTTTAAACCACTTTTAAAAACTTTAACACTGGCCATAACATTTGAAAAGTAAAACACTAGAGCCTTCAAATTTCACATGTGTATTCCTTGTGAGATGGTTTTCCTTTGAGTACCCATAATTTTGACATTTGAGTCTGACCTACTTAGAAAAAAAAACTTTTTCTTGGCCATAACTTTTAAACTGTTTAGAGCCTCCATATTTCACAGATGTATTTCTCGAGATTTTACATTCATATTTCACAGGTGACAAGAGACCTTCTTTTGGAAATCAGCAATTTTGACCTCGACCTTGGAGTTTGACCTACTTTTGAAAAATTTAATCATAGACCATAATAATAATAAATAAAAATGAAAATAATTAACACAGTAAAGGCCAGGATTCAAAGCATTATTTATGCATGAAATCAAAGTCCTATAGAAAATATATGTGCGAACTATTAAAAATTTCTGAAATATATATATCAAAAAGTTTTATCTTAGAAAAAATGGAACCACAGATAGCGCAATTTTTATTAGTCAATCTTTAAATTGTACAGTTGAAAGTACTGTATATTTATAAAATATCATAAATTATATTGTAATGGTATACTATATACAAACGACCATTAGTATTGGTCTTATTCTAAATGTGCATAATCTTTGCAAGTTTGGTAATTGTGGGATTGTTGAGAATATCAAAATTTCACCCACCCCCTTCTGAAAGAGACGAGCTGAAATAAGTATATGTATATTTAATTAAAAAAAAAACTAAAACAATATAAAAAATTCTTTTATTTTTTATATCTCATATAGCTCACATTGAACCTCTAAATTCAAGGCTGATTTTAAGCAAATGTTGACCAATAGCGTGGAAGTTTTGGGACAAACCCCCGCGAGTTTTCCCTGCCTGGACATAATTTCCCTACATGGACATAATTTCCCTACATGGACATACATCTTCAACCAATCAAATACTCCTCTATATCGCGTGAGAACCATTCGTTTATCTTATCGTATAACCTTTATTGCGTTGTTGGTATAATGTCTTGTCTGTTTGTATTGACAAATGATTAAGAAAAACGACTAAGCCTCCAGAAAATTATGAACCCACTACTTATTTGAATATTTTGATAATTTAGATGCAAGGGTAAATTATCTTACATTGCTTACCAAAACAATAAACAATTTTGCCAGAGAACATGACATACGAATCAAAAATTAAGGGGAGAGATTAGATCAATTAATGTATATATATCATATTTTTGCTTGCATCTTTAAATGGATTACCCACATTAATTGCTGATAATCTAGATGTTTTTTTTTATTTGTGAAACACTGATGCCCCCGTATGATAGCTTATAGCCAGGATTGAACTTTTTCAAACGCAAATCAAACTCTAAGTCAAAGGTATCTTGCAATTAAGTAGCTCTAACTACTGGAGTAGTTATGTTCCCAGCCGATAAGGCTTGTAATATATCTTTGCTTGCAAAGCTCATTATTTTAACTCAGACGTACTGCTTTACAACATATGGTGTAAATCAGGTGTGGATTGTCAAAAATTCCAAAGAACATTTAGAGGATTTATAATCGATTTTTTTTTCAAAAGCCAGTAACATCAAAACGTACGACTTCTCTACACTATATACAACTATTCCTTACGATAAAATAAAAACTAGACTTTTTGATATCATAAATACCCAGTAACTGCTTCTTCAATAAAAATGTGAGTGGACATTTTTCCATCTTGTGATTGTTCCTAAACAACATTTTTTTTGTAAAAGATCAGTCTAATTTTACACACAGTTAAGTAGATGTACTCCGAAGTTGATATCAAAAGGATGCTGCAGTTCCTCATTGGCATCATTTATGTAGTGTTAGGAGACAAAGTCTTGCAACAAACTGTTGGAATTCCAGTGGAACTAATTGTGCTCTTTTATTCTAACCTGTTATTACATTTTATGAAGCAGGATTTATTCAATTTCTATTTGAGAAGAAGATACACTTGCTGTGGCTTCACCTCGATATTTCAACAATTTTAACATTAGAAATTAAAATCCAACAACTAACACCTAAACTGTATGACATACTAGATGATTTCGAAAGTCTATACAGCCAATAAAGAATTTATGTTATACTGACATAAAACAAGGATACTGAAATCCATGACTTTGTCAAACTAACTTATTTGCCAGTAGCCTGCACCGGCCTAAAAATTTATTGTACTCAATGCATTGCCTTGAGTATCGAATACGTTAGGGTATGCAAGCACCACGTACAGGTGATAGCTAGTTTTATAACTTCACAAATAAGGAAAGTTGTTGATGGAAACAATATAAAGAAGAAATCGTCTCGTTTTATACCGGCACACAATTTATTTGCTAGTTGGTCCTGATCGTCTATAGCCAAAAAAACTTCCAAATATGGAACAGATGTAGCAGACTGTTTGGTGCCTTTAGTTTTGGAAATCTCTTGACGGTTTATGAATTAAAAGAAGTTAAGCTCCCTAATCAATTCTACCGATAAAAGGTATCCCTAGTTTTATTTCTAAGTTAATGAAAAGGGGGATGGGGTTGTCATAGATGCCTACGTTACATTTTCCATTCGTCGGAAAAGCCCGATGTTGCATTTGACGACGATTTTTCAGCGAGTTTGTCCACGGGTTATAAGTAAAAGACGAGATCACCCGTGGGTATCTGATGATGAAAGATTTTTTCTTCAATATTACTGACTTAATAATTAAGTTCGGTATATTGGACAGAAATTACCTCTGACAATTAACATCAACGTACGCAATACTGTGGGGTTACGTAGACTAGGTCGCCATCCGCAGTGTGAATTTAAGGACGGTCGTTTCGGTATATTGATTATGAAAAAAAATGCAACTTGAAGGTATTTTAAACAGCAAGCTCAAACATAATACAATTAAGTACCATTCGGCATGCCTCGGATCATACCGCTGCAGAATCCACCGAGGAGTGCAAGACTGCATGCAAAAATTTGCCATGGATGAAGCAACTAGAACCATGGTTTTGTGTATGACATTCATTTGTGTTGCCGCATATCTTTTTAAGGAAATTTTGAATGATGTTCAGAGGGATGTAAAGAAATGCGACAATGAGTTTTTGTCAATCAAACAGAGAAATGCGGAACTAGAAACGAAAGTACAAATGCTGGAAAGCTCTTTAGAAATACAAGAGAAAAATGCAGCAGAGAAAAGAGAGAAAAATATAGGGGAAAGAATAAATGCACTTGAGACCTCTATCTCGGCCATACGTCAAGGTATATAATTTTTTTCGAAAGCTTGACATGCAATTTTTTTGTCCCCCGCTTTCGCGAAAGCGAGGGGACATTACCATAACTTTTGAATGGCTTTCATACTTTTCATCTTTATAAGGGCTTTCATACTTTTGACCTTGGATATGACAAGAGTACCACCAAAACCTTTTGACCTTTCATTCGTCTGTCCGTCTGTCTAGCTGTCGTCAGTCTGTCCGTCCGTCACAAAAACTTTAACCTTGGCCATAACTTTTGATTTAGTGGAGCTATGACTTTCATATTTCATTTGTGTATTCCTTGTGACAAGACCTTTCTTAGGCTACCACCAAATTTAGCGCCTGTGATCTTACCCAATACACTTTAGTGATTGCATATTTCTGTGTAAAACTTTAAATAAATTATTCATTCATTTATAGTTAACAATCCATTGTGACCTCGTTTATCGATAAATGAACTTTACAGTATTATTCCTGTTCATAGAGAAACCTTTGAAATAAAAATTTAAAGACAGATGATATACCCCGGTAATCAAAAAAATAAATAAAGGATGTCTGGATTGGTATATACTAGTATTTTTGGACCTAATCCGGTAAAAAGTGGTCGTAAATGATGTGGGGTATACAATTTCTAATATTGCATTGACCACACCTCTGAATTTTTGGAAGAAAAAATTAAGTCATTTTCAATGCGTGTGTACACTTTGTAAACAATGTGCTAGCAAAACGAGAACTGGGTCGGACATTCGGGTTCGTGTTGAAGTTCGGCATAGGCCTACCATTTTATATAGAACTTGAATAATGTAAGTAATTTCTGCGACAAATACATTAATTAGTATATTTCAGCTATGCTGCTCTGCTCCAATTTTGTATTTTTTAATGGACTTTTGAGCTTGAATACTGTTCGTTATCTTCAAACAGTTCATTCAGAAATTGCAAACTTCCTAATATTGTTTTAAAATTTACCTTTCTGCCATTGTCCTCATCAATCTTTTGACAACTTTTTGGTAGTTTAAACCGTGTTATTGTGAAACTTTGAATGAAAATTCAAAATCAATTTTTCCACTCAACCGATATACCCGTATGAGAATTAACGGATATGTAAGTTGTTCAGTTTAAGATTTCTTTTTAAAAAAAATTTTGTTTGTATCATCTGTTCTTTATCATTGATCTTTTGAAGATTTTTTATACCCCCGTAAACGAAGTTTCGGGGGTATATAGTTTTTGTCGTGTCCGTCTATCTGTCTGTCTGTTTCTCTGTTTGTCCGCAAAAACTTTAACTTGCCCATAACTTTTGATTTAGTGGAGCCATGACTTTCATATTTCAAATGTTTATTTCTTGTGACAAGACCTTTCTTTGGGTACCACCAAATTTGACCTTTTGACCTCGACCTTGGAGTTTGACCCACTTTTACATGAAAATTTTTAACTTTTACTTTGGCCATGTCGTTTGAACAGTGGATACCAGGACATTTATACTTTAAATATGTATTTTTTGTTAAAAGACCTTTCATTGGATACCAACAACTTTGACCCTTTTACCTTGACCTTGTAGATTTCCATACTTGTGGAAAAACTTTAACCTTGGTCATAACTTTTGAACGATAAGGGAAAGGGCTTTCATACTTCATATATGTAATTCTTGTGAGAAGACCCTCCATTGGATGCCAAGAACTTTGACCCTTTGACCTTGACCTTTTAGTTTGACTTACTTCTAAAAAGCAAAAAAAAAAGCAAACCTTGACCATAACTTTTAAAGGGTTAGGGCTAGTGCTTTCATACTTTACATATCTATTTTTTATGACAAGACCTTTCATTTGATAACAAGAACTTTGACCCTTTGACCTTGGAGTTTTACCTACTTTTAAAAATTTTTAACCTTGGCCATAACTTCTGAATGGTTAGGGCTAGGGCTTTCATACTCTGCATAAATATTTTATGTGGCAAGACCTTTCATTTGATACCAGATACTAGTACCTTGACCTTTTGACCATGACCTTGGAGATTTTTGCACTCATTGAAAACTTTAACATTGGCCTACTTTCATATTTCACAATTGTTTTTCCAGTGAGAATAACCTACTTTTGGTACCAATTAATTTAATTTGCATTTTAATAAGAAAAGAAAAGAAATCTTTTCTATGTTTCCATACGGGGGCATCAGTGTTTCACAAACACATTTTGTTTTTTTTTAAATACGCTTTTTGGACTCTTTTCTTCTATTAGTTCTCAACAAGACGTTATTATAATTGTTAACTATAACATTTATACTTCATTTATAGGTAGGACATATGCTTTCACAGCTCTCTTAAGTGGCTTAAACAACAATTATGGGTCTGGTCAAACAATAGTGTATGACAACGTTAAGGTGAATACAGGGGGTTGTTACAGTGGCAGTAATGGAATATTCACGGCACCAGTTGCTGGTATTTATTTCTTTAGCTGGAGTACCATGACTTCACCAAACGTCCCATTGGATACAGCACTTGTTCTCAATGCTGCAAGTAATTACAGGGTATATTTGAAAGGTGTTGCGAGTCCAAACTCTTATTCTTTATTTTCTCAGTCTACAGTCGTTCAATTGGCACCAGGAGACAGGGTTTGGATTGTCGCATACAAAATGGGAGCTCAAAACGTTCATGGCGGTTCATGGCCAGCATTTTCTGGTTTTAGGGTATAATTTTGTAGATTTCAACCTTTGTCTTTTAAGTGAGTATTGCAAAATATGTTATGGCATCTGTGTAAAATGAAAGAGGAGGTTTTGGAACCAAGCGCTACCTACCGGACATTTTAAGCCCATACTGTTTGGCATAACAATAAGACATCAAGTGACCATATTCCAGACGGTGAATAAGTTACTTTTTAAAATACATGCAGTCAATCTGGTTATCTCGAAATTGATTGGACCGAACGTAAAATTCGACATATCCATGGTATTCGAGATATCAGTTTTCGAGATACTGAAGTTCAACTGTACTTGTATGAAGAAAAGTTTGGAGAAGAATGCTTGAGAGAAAGACGGACATGGAATACAAATACAAAAATTTATACATTATATTTGATTATTTATATTATGAATAAAGTACAAGTTCAAATCTATTTATAACTATACGTATTTCTTGTTTCTATAATTCATTTGAATTAACCCCGTTCATCAACCAATCGGCTTTAAAAAGATTGTCCAATAAGCGAGGATATTGCTTAAAGGTGCATCGACACAGATTTCTCAAATTTCCTGTATATTATCACGACTTATATTTAATAGTGTTGTGTTTTGCGTGCACTATGCCTAAATAGTAGTCAGTGTTTGACACATGGTGCACGAGCCGGAGGCACAGTTAACAGTTAATAAAACATCCACTATTATCCCAGAGACACAAAGAGGCAAGATTACAATGTACAAGACTACATAGGAGGTGGAATATTCGGTCATGGCAGAGAATATATTGGTCAGATAAAAGCCGATTCCTGCTTCACCCGGTAGACGGCAGGGTTCAGGTATGAATGGGAACGAAGGCTTTTGGTGGAGGCGGTGTAACAATTTGGGGATGCTTTTCTTTGCAATGTAAACTGAAGTCGCACATTCTTGATGGTACCTGAACTGCTCAAAAGTACAGGGACAACATACTAAGCCCATTAGTTGTGCTTTATTTTGATGATCATTCATCAGCAAGTCGACCTGTACTAATGGATGACAACGCTAGACCTCATCGTCATCGGGGTCGAATAGTTTAAGACTATCTTCCCCAAGAAGCCATTGAAACCATGCCTTGGCCCGCCATGTCCCTAGATATGAACCCAATTGAACATGTGTGGGATTATCTTGGTCGTAGAAATAATCAGAGGACCCCAATTTTAGATGTGTAAACGTACAGGAATTGAAAGACGCTTTAATTGAGGAATGGAGACAGTACCCCCAAAATCGCCTTCGACGACTTGTCCACAGTATGAGAAGGCGTGTGAAAGAACTGTACAAAAGTCGTGGTGGATATACACATTATTAAATATCCATGCTTATAAAATGTTGAAAATTGATGAAAGTAAACATGCTTATTGCTAGCAACTTTTGTCGACAACAAATTAAAGTGAAACCTTAAATTCTAGATTTAGCGACTTGTGTTCCTTTCTTTGGAAAATTATCAATTGCATTTATAAAACAGCTAAGTTATCAGGTGATTTCGAAACATGCATTGACTAAGGAAAGTATAGATCTACTTAGATTTTAAAACGAAAATTGAAATATTTGATTGGATAGGTCTGAGTTTATGAAATGTTTAAAGAATTTTCACAAAAAGAGTAATGGTCCCTTACTTTTGAGTAAGTGTATATAAAACATAGGCCATCTAATGTTATAGAGATAAAGTTTGTAAATCGTTTTTAACATTTGAAACAAGCATTCAATTCTAAGTCTGAAGGAAGAATTTAAGTTGAGAGAAGAATCAGGGGTGAGGGGAATGCGGGAGCAAACATGTAAGACGTTAGAAATTCCGTAGGACCCCCTCCTAATAAAATAACTTAGTATTCATAAATCTTATTTAAAAAATACAAGCAACAAACCAATTCAAAAAACTTGGGAGTCCCCCGCTTTCTGTGTCTTTGTGGATGGGATGGCCTAATAAGTTAGGGATACATTTTTTTATTGAAAAAAATGAAACGTCAGTTTCCTGTGCTTATACTTTGTATGCAGGTGATACCGTATTACATTGTACTCTCATCATCTGAAGATTTAGAATTGCAGAAAAAAATACCCGGTATTTGGTTATTATTGTTCTTTCTTTTAATGTTGTATTGTGAGAAATGGGAAGTTAATTTTTAAAAATAAATAACAATATTTTTTCATGAGAACGGACACTAATTGATTTTTTTTAAATTTTCGAATATTTCAAATTTATTTGGGTCATATTTTCGTCTTGTGGTATAAAACAAAACGGTATGCAACCGAACGAGCGAAATATGGTAATAATTTCATTAAAAAATGAAACATAAAACAGATATTCTTTTTGTGGAAATTTTTATTAATTAATAGTATAAAAACATGGTTAAAAGCATCAACAGCAATATAATTATTACTCTCACCCTCTCTCTCTCTCTCTTTCTCTCTCTCCAAGTCAATATTTGGTCACACAAAAAATCATCACACCATCACACGCACCATAAAATTAATTTAATTGCACATATCACATTAAATGTAAATGTCCGTTGATTTGAATTACCTCAAATCACAAACTTTCTTGTTCTGGCAAAACTTTTTATGTTAATGATCTTCCGTCAGCCAAAACTTGTATAATTTACTTCCCTTGGAAATTACCGGGAAATCCCTGGTTTTGCGTGTTTCCTTGGATGGTTCCCTGCTGTCCCCTGGGACTTGGATTAAACTGCATGTTTTGTGTATTTGACCTTGAGAACTGATTTGCTCCAGCTGTGTTTTGAATGTTAGATCTTGGGATGAAGGGGTTGTTCCAGTTTGATGCATCGGATAATCCTATGGTGCAACAGGCGATGGGGGCACCTGCATTTCCGGTCTGTAGACTCATGGGATTTCCACCTCTTCCTAAATCATCCCGACCCTCGTGTAACTATAGAAAACATAAATAATGATGTTATTATTGTTTTTGTTTTTTTGTTATCTCTCTCTTTAATCTTGGTAAATTTTATGATTTTTATGATGTTTCAGTTATTGTTTCTTTATATGGCTTATACAGATAATTCGCAAATTTCAACTGTCACCCCAAAAGAATCCAACCGAGAAAGTTGACAAGCAGTATGAAAGAAAAAAAATCAACTCCTTTTCAAAACGTTTAAACCCTATTTTGAATGAGGAGGGTCTTAACTTCTTGATTACGAACTCCATATATGTAAGGTTCCTCCTGCCGTTCCAACAGGGATTTAAGTCCCATATGGGTCCAAAGTATCTTTTTAATCTATTTAATTAAGTACACTGTACATTTAATAACCATAATTCCAGGTGGTCCCCCAAACCCCCTCTAGATCTGCGCATTTTTCCTACGCAATTGTATGTTATAAGACTAAAATCGTCACTAGCATTGTAAGCTGGTATAGGACACATCTTTGAATTTCCAATCTTTCGTTTATATTAATTCTATATATATGTTTATTTAATTGATAAAAATATGTATCGTAACACGAATGACATGTTTCTCGAAAAATATACAAGATCAACACCGGTACCCTGGGGCAACACTTAACTTCCGTTTGGACAAGTTATATCAAAGCGTCAGCTATAGTGTTACATAGCTGGTTACGAATATTTATCTAATGTTGTGTTTTATGCAGTAAAAATACATTTGATTGGATACTAACCACGATGGCTCGACCAACAATCCCCAAGTCCCCGGCTAAAGTCATCAGTGGCAATGTCAGCTGAGCATCTATGACACCGGCGTTTGATTGTCGCAGATTTCCCATATCACCTTCGTGACTATTTCCACTGAAAATGCAATTACAGGACATCTTCATATGTTGAAAGTGACTGAAACCTCCATTTTATGCACCTTCATAGCTTCAGAAATCATTATTTTACAATTTAAAATTCAACTATATTTAAATGATAACAGAAAAAATATTTATCTTATCAAACATGGGGTTAAATTAATTTGTGATATAAACAATATAAAAAGAAATGGGCGAAATAGAATCCCTTGCTGAACACCAGCAATTTCGAAAAAGTATAAAGTATTTAACTTACGTTCCAAGATTATTGGGAGATCCGTGGAATGAAAAAGAGTCTGAATCATAGTGAGGTCCAGCGGCGTAACATCCTCTACCGAGATCGCCATATTCATGTACGTGAATTCCATGTTCTGTGTCGCTCATTAGACTTGGGGGGAGACCAACGACCTGAACACGCACCTGACAGGGACCACCTGTTACCTGTAATATTTCAAATAAATACCGGTATTTAATATTAAAAGATTTTCAGATAAAAAATGACTGCAAAATATGGAAATATATTTCAAAGTAAGTGAGTGGAGACTAGAGTCCTATATTACCAGTTGTCTAATATCCACACGGCCTCTGACATTCGAACCAGTCTCGTTGAAGTAACAGGTTCCATAAATAAAATTATTTCCTGACACCACTGTTCCCGTTGTTGGTCTTCTACCAGGTCCTATATTTCAAAGATATTGAAGTTTATCAAACGGGATTGCTTTTTAAAATTAAGACATGTTTATAAAGTGATTGTTGAATTTTTATCAAATATATATTTTTAAGGGTATATCCATTTGGAAGACGAACTTACCAAAGGGAAATCCGCCTGGTCTCACTGCATTGTTCGGTCCATTGGGGAAAAATCCTGGAGCATTATTTGCAGGAAAACCTCCAGCATTTGGTAAAACATTTGGTCCGTTTGGGGGGAATCCTTGATTATTTGGCGGAAACCCTTGGTTAGGACCTGCATTTGGAGGAAAACCTACTGGAAATCCTCCTTGTCCGGCCGGAAGAAACTGTCCAATTATAGTATTAAAGTTGCAAATAGCAACAATTACAGTAACCGTAAGAACATTCATCTTGTATAATTAGTTTTCAGTAAAAACAAAAATAATATGCACTATTTTGTGTCACAATGTATAGTCCAGACAAGTTCCTTGATATCGTGTCTACTACAGAAAGTCCTTGATGATAAATGGCACTTCCCGGGTGTATCTTTCAATATAAGTCGGTAGGTGAGTATACCTTAATACGTCAGTGAATTCCTTAAAATAAGGGAAGTTCTCTCACTGGCGTAACGATACTGATGACGGATTGGTTCTACATCAGGGTTACGCGAGTCATGTGTCACCCTGCATGGTATTTTTCGTGTACAAGGGCTTGTCCCACACACTAGAAAGGTGTTGGTCACGTAAATTGGCTGTTATAATTATGAAAGTTTTTATAATATCTTCCGGAAAAAGAATTTATGAATGACACACGTATATATGCAACTGAATAAGAAGTGGGGAATTCATAGGGGTGGGTGGCACACTTTGTTTACCCATTCTATTCCTATACCTTTATTTATGCATTAACCAATGATGAATCATTTTGCTTTGTTCTTGAGTGATTTTTACATGCATTGTATTCAGAAGAGTTCAAACTTTAATATTTCCACTGCACAAAGGTGCGATTCTTTGCACATGTTAAGAAAATAAAACATTTGAGAAAAAAGTTTAATAAAATAGCTTGATAAAGCTACAGCTAAATCTAGTTAGAATAATTTAACTGTGTCTCGGTACAAGCCCTCAGACACCCCGGCCCAATGACACCCCGGCCCATTGACATCTCGGCCTTGACTGGTCGGCCCAAAATTTAAGACACCTCGGCCCATACATAAGACACCTTGGCCCAAGCAAACTTTTATTAGAAAGTATTATATCTTTCCAAACTGCGACTTCAATAAAATTTTGACCGAAAAAATATAAACAATCAAGATTATTTTTAGTAATAAAAAGACCTCCACGAGCTACATGATTGACGATAATCAAGGAATAAAAAGACAATTAATTATAATTTTAAAAGTGCTAACAGATTAAAGAAACAATATGGCGCGGTGCATCCTTTGGGAGTCTCCAGTGCGTGTCACACTGGTGACAATAATTACGTATGGCACGCCAAATTCACAAAAATGAGATAATCATAGTTTCACATTTGATAAACTAGGTTTTTATCGGTCGTAAACTATAGTTTACAAACCGTAAACTATAGTTAACGATTCGTTAAGTATAGTTTTCATCTGTAAAACTATATTTAACGGTTGTTAACTATAGTTTACGAATGCTAATATAAGTTTATCTATCTGTAATAAGCGTTAACAATGGATTTTGTTGATAAACATAGATTCACGTTTGTAAACTATAGTTTACAATCGTAAACTATAGTTAAGAGTTGTTAATCATAGTTTCACAAATCGTAAAACTATATTTATCAGATCGTTAACTATAGTTAACGGTTTGTAAACTATAGTTTACAAATCGTTAAACTGTATTTATCAGATAATCTATGTTTTGCAATCGCAAATGATTGTTTTTGGTGTTAAGTATAGTTTACGGTTGTGAAACATAGATTATCGCGTTAAATGGTTTACAGATGTAAAATATAGATTAACGTTGTTAACTATAGTTTACAATCCGTAAACTATAGTTTACAACCGATAAACCTAGTTTATCGGTTGTGAAACTATGATTAGCTCATTTTTGTGAATTTGGCTTGCCATAATTACGAGCAGGATTAATTGTGAGACAATCATTCAGAACATTTACATCCATTTATTTCTGAAGAATTCCACTTACATTAAAAACTAGTTCGAGTCCTGAATTTTTTTTAAAATTTCATTTTAAGCTATACATCAAACTATGATTTTCAATCAATGAACATGATGAAACATAAGATGAAGTTCAGATCAATAATTATAGCCCCCCCCCCTCCTTGACTTTTATTTTAAAAAATCATTTAATCGTCAAAAAGAATAATTACATAAATAATAATAACAGTTCAGACAATGGATTAATTTTTTCCATCAAAAAATTTCACTTGGGCCGAGGTGTCTTTTATATGGGCCGACGTGTCAATAATCTTGCGCCGACCTTTCAAGGCCGAGGTGTCAGACGTCACGGCAGACGAGGTGTAGACTAAACTGTGAAATAGAATCAAAAGCATCGCATGTTGATTTCGAGGAACGGTGTTGTCATGGTTACTAAAAATATAAATTTCTTTGAAATTCCTTTAAAACGCTACTCCTCCTACAGTTTTTGTCTGATGGCAGTGGCTAATTTTCTCTTTCTTTGTTATAAGTACAAACCAGTAGAACTACAGTCTCAACAAAGACTTCTGGTTAAAGAAAGCATTTATATTTTCATCCAACTTCATTTGCTGATACACACTTATGGGGGTTATCAAAACTTCGGTCTAGAGCAGACACTCCAACCACTGCGCCACACAGGCGACACTCAGAATTGAAGAATCCATTCATGATATTTTTTATCAAACTTAAGTATGCTAATACATATTTGTAAGAGCTATTTAATTATATCAAATACTTTTGACCTTGCACTTTCCTGTGACCTTGACTTTGGTAGTCTTTAATTTGCATTGTGATTATTATTAAAGAAACCATTTATAATTGAGATAATTTTATGTAAGCTTATGCATTATACAGAGTACATTATTTGACACGGATTTATCATCTATTTTCATTTTTTAAGATTTCAATTTTCAAGAAACTATTCAAGATATTCTCAACAAACGTCATACACTAAGACAGATTTTAATGGCATTACTAATATACACTAGACGGGGCATTCATGTCCCATAATAGACATATAACTTTAGAATGTGGCTTTTGATCTAGACTCAAGGTTACATCTTCTTGTCATGTTGTCCGTAGCTCCAACGGAAGACCTATTCGTTGCTTTGTAACGAGCTCGGCTCTAGTTTTTATAATAATAGCTCAGTTTTATAAGGCCTAGGTAAATAAATAGTGTGTTTCCTATTCCATCCTGAGAAAAAATAAGGTAGGTAGGTGGGAAAACATTATAACATTTTATTGGTAAGCATGCATGCCATTTTCCCCCAGGGAAATCACTTTCAGAATATTTCTGATTATTGTTAGTATGATATGCATTTTCTCTAAAAGGTAAGAGGTCCAGATTAGGATTTCTAATTGTAAAACTGGAATAATTTACTCGAAAGATATTAGCAGAAATTTTTTTTAGGGTCGGCTCTTATATTACATGTAAAGGGTAGGTCGGGGAACCAAAACACACAATTTATTTATCTAGGCCTAAGCTACTGTTTCATTAAAGGCTTCTATATTGTGAATGTACAGAGTGGAAAATGATTCTTATCTTAAAAAATTATAAGTATAAATATATGATTCTGCATTAGTATGTTTGAAAAATTACAAAATTAAAGTCAGAGTTCTTCAATTGTTCTGAATGTTCCTTCAGTAGTCCACATGGAGTTACCTCCCTCAAAACTGCAGATGAAGGTGTTGTCATATCTTGAATCTTCTAAATCATGCACATTTGACATTGTAAAGTGCCATCTG